ACCTAAGAATTTGGAGGTAAATGACATTTCCACCATTTTAACTAAAAAATGCCACTATTGGTATTATATTATTACTTGATAATAATTATTACTTGATAATGATCTTTTTCACAAACCAACGTTCCCTAACTTTCTAACATTATTTCTTTCTTTTTCCTTCTTTTAAAGTGCTAAAAGCGGAGAATGTCTAAGGAACGACAACTAATTTAAGGACAATGAAAGACACAACTAGAAATGTTTAAAAAAAATTAACATTTTCTGTTGAGCTCAATCTAAAATGTTAATTTTTTAACATTTGCGCAACTTAAAATGTTAATTTTTTAACATTTTTAGTTATACATTTTCTTAGTCTTAAATTAAGCCGTCGTACGGTAGAATTATCCGCTAAAGGCGGGCACGGAGTTCATGGCTGCTTAGCTGCTTGATATCATAGTAGAAACTTAAAACGAAAATGAAAAATGAATAATGGAGATGATTTTCTGAATTTCCTCCCCTGCGCCATAAAGATACTTATGTCTCTACACGATCCATCTGACCTTGTTCGCATCAGTGTTGTCTCAAGCTCCTAGCGACAATTTGATGAGGTAGATAATTCATTTATATTCTTCCTCGTTTAATATCACAGTTTCTTTTCCAATTTGTTGGTTAGATTCAAAGGATTTCTCAAGACTATTATAGGACTAATGGAGATTTGGGATATTAAAATTTTGCTGTTAATTGACTGGAAATTATTGGCATAGCTTTGGTAATTTGATTTCATCGTGTAATGAAAATTTTCACTAAATATTGACTATTTTAATTTAATGCTTGTGTTGTTATATAAACAGATTTTAGACAATTGTTTTTGTCCAGGTCTACAAAAATATTATTATATTATTATCATATTATATTATTTTATTAATCATATTAATTACATATTTTGCAGGCTGACCCAACAACCTATCCAATTCTTAAGGCCCAAATCAGCACTGCCCCAGAAGCCCAACCGAGGCCCAAAGCAGCCCATTAGAACCCAATTACAACTAATCCAAACCCGATCTGCCTCAAGGTCCGACCCAAACCTGGCCCGTTTGTAACCTGAAAAATTAGGTATTCTAAACCCTAATCAGCAGCCACCGCCGCCAATGTTTCAGCTCCTATCTACGCATGAGATACATGTGCTCCTCCAGACCGAAGTGTGGCCTTTGTCGACAGTTCCTTGAGCCGCCATCATCATCCATGTACTCCGAACAATACCCAAATCAACATCAAATCAAGAAAATCAGAGAAAAATCAAAACCCCATAAACAAATATCAAAATCCCAAAAATATGGGATTTTTCATCAGCTATAATCAGAGGAATTATTTCCTATACCTAAAGATTAATCATTCCAACAACCAAGGAGAAAACTATAAAACAAAGAAACCATTTGAAGGAAAAAAATAAGGAGGAAAGAGGGAAAAAAAACTAGATGGGGGAGTTCGAAAAAAAATGAAAAAGGAGAAAAACTCTCACCTTTGGTACATCCGCCCCACCGTTGCCTCACCTGAGCCACCACTGGCGTTGCTGCTGCTTCACTGAACCAACAACCCTTTTCATTTTGAAGGTAAGGGTTTTGTTTAATCATGTTATAAGTAGGGGCTCGGGTTTAGGGTTGTTTTAGGAGAAGCATAGGAGAAATAGCGAGAGAGAGGAGGGCAAGAGTGGTCTGTGGGTGAGGGTTTTAAGCGCTGATCGTCGAGCGCGACCGTGAAACTACCGTAGAGAAGCGACTGTTTCGGGTTTTTGGGAGAGAGTTTAGAACTCTCATTTTCTTATTTTTCAGCTGAGATAAGGGAATGAGGGATTAGAGTTTTAGAACCCAAAGCATGGCATATAACCACCCAGCAAAACGACGATGTTTTATATAACTCTTGTAAGGGGATATTTGCATATCCAGTCCCTGTATTTTATATAACTATTGTACTTGAGTCATGAAATGGAATCTGTTTTATTTTATGCATCTTATTTTACCCGTATTACAGTTTGGTCTTGAGTCTCTTTTGGTTCATGTTTTATGATTCTTTCTAATTAGGCACTTATTTCTGATCTTTTTCATTTTAGTCCTGTATATATTATGTATGGTTTATTTTCCTTATTAGTATATGTATTATGTGACTGTTTTTATTTCTGCCCTGATGTTTGCCATGTTCGTTCTTATGTCTTTCAATTTACTATTATTATTATTTAGTCCTTTATTTTACTAAGCATGTCTATTTTTTTATTTATAATATTTTCACTTTAGCCTATCATGTTTGTATGAATACATTGTAATTACAGATTTTTGACTTGGTCACTACAACAAATTTATCAATTTGTGACAAAATTTCTACATGACGTTGCATATAACGTCACAAAATATACTATAAACGTGACATTTTTTTATTTTTGTCACATTTAGTGATTGATGACATATCTTTTATGAAAATTTTAAAAATAGTCATTGATTTTCGTCGCACTGTGTTTGGCGCCAAAATTTACCTCCAAAAAAACTTGGTGGGAAAACTTTCACTGACATTTAGACAAAATGGCGACGTTATAAATTCATCCCTGATAAAATAAAAGTATTAGTGACGATTTATTATTATGACGATTTGATTTAAATTAGTGACGTTATAAATTAGCCACCAATAAATTTTATTCGTGATGATTTGATTCGTCATATTTTATAATATTTAAAAGGTGACATTTTATTTGTGCAACAAAAATAGATTTAATATGACGAAATTAATGATTTGTCACTCCTTTTTATATTTGTTGTTTTTATGTGATTATTTTAAAAGGCATTATATGATTGTGTGGTTTAATCTCACGCACCAAAAATTAACTAAAAAATTAGAGGGAAAATTTTAAGGTGACATGTTGGTTCCAATACAACAAAACTGTTCTACCACGGCGTTTTAAGAGTAAACGCCACTAACTTTAAACATATAGCGGCGTTTACAATCCAAACGCCACAAATAGTAACTTTAGCGGCATTTTTATACAAAACACCGCGACAGAGTAGTACTTTAGTGGCGTTTTGGTACAAACGCCGCTATATACTCGTACTTTAGTGGCGTTTTTTTTAAACTCCGCTATATACTCATACGTTAGTGGCATTTTTATACAAACGTCGCTAAAGACTCGTGTTTTAGTGGATTTGTTTTATATAAAGCCGCTCAAGACTCGTACTTTAGTGGCATTTTTATATAAATGCTGCTATAGACTCTTGTTTTAGTGGCATTTCTATATAAATGCCGTAAAAGACTCATACTTTAGCGGCATTTTTATACAAACGCCGCTAAAAACTCATGTTTGTATAAAAATGCCACTAAAGACTGATGTTTTAATAGCGTTTTTATATAAACACCACTAAAGATTCGTACTTTAGTGGCATTTTTATATAAACACACTAAAGATTCGTACTTTAGTGGTGTTTTTATATAAACGCCGCTATAGACTCTTGTTTTAGTAGCATTTTTTTTTATAAAAATGCCGCTAAAGACTCGTACTTTAGCGGTGTTTTTATACAAACGCCACTAAAGACTCGTGTTTCAGTGGAATTTTTATGCAAACGCTACAAGTTTACAATTTTTTAAATCCCACCGCCCTTTTAACCCTTTTTCACTTTTCCTACTTCACATATTTTTTATTCCCCCCGAAGTTAAACATGAAGTGGCGTTTTTTTATAAACGCCGCTAAAGACTTGTGTTTCAGTGGCGTTTTTATGCAAACGCCACAAGTTTACAATTTTTTAAATCCCACTAGCCTTTAACCCTTTTTCACTTTTCCTACTTCACATATTTTTTATTCCCGTCAAAGTTAAACATAAACCCCTAAACAAAGCATCTTTCTCCCTCATCGCTATCCAAGGAGAGGGAAATAATATAAGGGTTTTAGAAAAAACAGAGAGAAATAGGTAATTATTTAGGTTAGGGTTTTGATTTTTCATCGTTTGGCTGTAAGAAAGAAAACAAAACGGTGGCAGACAAAGGAAAGAAGATGAAAGTAGCAGAGAATGGAGAAGAAGAGAAATCTGAACAAATCGACGGAGACCTCATTCTTTTCATCGAGAAGCTTCAAGAGATCCAAGACGAGCTCGAGAAGGTCCAATTTTCTCATTCTCATTTCACTTTCAGTTATATATCCGTTCATGTTTTTTCGCTCTTTGTATATGGTTTATCAGAAATTTAGAGGAATGCTGCAGGGAAATTTTGAACTTTCTCGTGTTTATCTGGGATGATTTTAAGTGTGTGAGTATTGAATTTTTTGTAATAACAATTTTACGTCAATGAAATTAATGTTTATAATTTTGTTTCTTTGATTAGTAATTACCGTACCTGATCAACTTTGTATGTTGGATATGTCTGAATTATATGGACGAGCATAATTGTTTCCTTCTACGCGTTTAAGTGTCCACTTGCTGTCTTAAACACGAGTTTTTTAGAGGTCACTTTTGGGTATCATGTCTTATTGCGGAGAAGGCGTTAATGGGATTGTTAATTTATGTATCTGGTCTTCCTATGTCATTTTTATGTTCTGCATTTTTTAGGAAGCTCGAGTCCCTTGATTATTCTCTTCTATGTGTTAAGTGCCTCCCTCTCTTAGATAAGGTGGGGAAGTTCCTTTACATTTGTGCCTTATTGCTCGCCGGGGGGAGAGTTCCTTTACATTTGTGTCTTATTGCCACACCCGGGGGGGGATTGTGTGGTAAAACTGGATTGTTAATTTCTGTACCTGATCAGCTTTCGTAGTCATTTTTATGTTCTGCATCGCATCATTGCAAAAAGATTTAGTCTCTTAATTGTTCTCTTCCACATGATGTAAAGAGTCGTTCAACACATTGTTGTAGGTGGTTACTTTAGGATATTATGTTTATTGTAGAGGTGATTTAAGTTGGATATGTTTTCTTTGACCTTATTTATAGCTGGTAAATGGTTATACACGATGTTTCTATTTTTAAACTTTTGTTGTTTCTTATTGGTATTTTGTAGATCAATGAGGAGGAGAGTGAGAAAGTTTTGGAAGTGGAGTAGAAGTACAATGAAATACGCAAGCCGATTTATGATAAGCGGAATGAGAAGATTAAGTCAATTCCTGATTTCTGGTTAACGGATGTAAGCGGTTCCAATCTTTCCTATAAATTTATATATTTTTTCTTTAAAGCTATCTCCATGTTGAGGAGAAGGGTTTTGGTTTACTTGTGTTCTTTATGTATAGTTCTTGAGTCATCCTGCTCTTGGTGAACTTCTGAATGAAGAGGATCAGAAGGTTTAATATCACTTCTTTCCAAAACTGAAACTGGTTCTGCACTTATATAGTTTTATTACTTTGCAAAATTTATTTTTGGCTCCATTTATTTATTTATTCATTTATTAAGAGGTGTTCTAGATTTGCCTGATATATTCTAGTTAATTGTTTTCTTATTTATTCATTCTTCTTATTTTCAACCTTTTGTTTCTTGATAGATATTCAAGTATATTAGCTCACTCGAAGTGGAGGATTTTAAAGATCTGAAATCTGGCTACTCTATTACGTTTGTAAGTTCATTTATTTTCCTTTTCTTATCTTGATTCTGTAAGAAACTGAAGTTGCACTTGATTTTTTTTATTGCATTAAACGTCTGGTATAAGAAACATTTAATCATGGTCTAATCAGTCATCATGATTTTTTGGCAACTATTATTATGCCTTTTCAAAACTTCGATTCCAATCCATACTTTGAAGATACGAAGCTTACAAAGACCTTTACCTTCCTTGATGAAGGAACCAAGATTATTGCCACCAAAATCAAGTGGAAAGAAGGCATGGTGAGGGTTTATTCTCTTATCATGTCTACACATCTTCTTGTTATTTGTTTGCCTTGGTTATTATGTTACATTAGTTTTTTAAATGTTAAGGGCTTGCCAAATGGAGTTGATCATGAGAAGAAAGGAAACAAGCGACAGTTTGCTGAAGAAAGGTTTGTTTATCATATCCAATTATCCATCAATAAATGTTTCCTCAGTCTGAGGACTTAAGTCACATAAAACCTGGGCTTAGTTTCTCTGTTGAGAAATGCAATGACTTCATTTTTATTTTCTCAATAAATTTATTGAACTTCAGCCTAGCATCTTATTAGAATGTTATACACTAGATAAATCTTTCCTTTCCCTTTTTTATATAAAAGAAATTATCCAGACAAGAGAAAAGATCTTACGTTCCCTTGATTTTGTATAATCCAAACTTAGGGTTAGTTTTTTCACAAGTCATCTTTTATTTTTAGTTATATAGAGCCAAACCTTGGCAGATCGAGCTTCCTTTTTTAGTGCAGACAAATTAAGATTACACATGCATTACATATTGTATAGTAAAGTTTTATTTATTGAAATTTATTACAAGTAATGACTTAATGTATGTATTTATACATTAATTTTAGTTTCTTGTTAACTTCTAGCATGCTAAGAATTTGCTGTTCTGTGAAGTTTGGATGTCTTGTATTTGATTTATCTTCTTTCACTTAGTCATTTGCAAATCATCTATAATATTGTACGAAAATTAATACACATGAATGCAGCTTCTTTACCTGGTTTACTGATGCTCAGCAGAAAGATGACATGGATGAGATTCATGATGAGGTAAACTCTATATGCATGTGTTGCATGTATGTAGTTTGTCCTTCATTTTTTTCTTATTTGGGTAAAGAGCTGGTCTAATCATTCACTTGATAAAACTACAGGTAGTAGATATTATCAAGGAGGATTTATGGCCCAATCCCCTCGCATATTTCAACACTGTAACTTCCCCTGGTTTTGTTTCATACCATTTACATAACGATCATCTTTTGCTTCCCTTATTAATTTTTTGGTAACTTAATGCAGGATGCTGATGAAGATGATTTTGATGGTGATGAAGAGGTATTTCATCTCTCCCCCTCCTCTTATTTCTTTGAAAAACTTATTTCTTATGTTTCCTGTACCCATTTGTTCTAGGATGTTTTCTAGGGTGATGGCACTAACTGTGTTTTTAGTGTTACTATGCTTACTGTTCGGGATCTGGTTGTTTCAGACTTTGGCTTTGATGGTTTACCTGGTTGACTGTTCTCTATTGTATTATCTTTGCCATCCTGTTGCCGGGTTTATGAAATTGTAATTTCATTTGCAGTAATGTTATTTGACAGTATTGTTAATTATGAAAGGTAGTGGCTGTAAGCCCTCAATTATCTTGCTAAACTAGATGGTTTCCTTCTGGTTTGTGTGTAAGAATTAAATTTTACATGCAGCTGAAAATGATCCAACAAAAAGCCCTAGCTGGGAACGGTTTGAGTTCGACAAAGATGCCCCACTTGATGATGAGGAAGTTGAAGGTTAAACATCTATCCATATCATCTCATAACTGTATTTGAAAATCAATTAGAATCTATCAGTGTCACGTGATACTTTAGCCTGTGGAAACATAGTTCCTCTCAATTTGTTTTCTGTGTTTCCCCATTTAGCTATTTAATATAAAATTTAACAGGTATTAGATGTTAAACCTCATAAATAATGATGAGTATTAGTATCCAGCATTTGATTTAGGGGAATCTATTGGTTTATAATAATCAATGATTATCATTGAATATGTACTTCACTTATAAATTTATATATTCGAGTTCACTTTGCAACCTCTAGCTTGAAATATTTGTAATCCAATGAACAAAGGTGTACTAGAACTTACTTCATGTGCCTCATTGTTGGCAGTTGCTAAAGATGATGCATCATTAGTGAAGCATATTAGCTGGAGCTTTTAGTTTTCTGCCATAGAGGTGATGCATCATTCCTTTTCATCTGTCCTTGCTTCAAATTCCAATTTATGTTCATGCATACCTGTTATGTTGTATGTTGTTATTTGTGTTTTGTGGGAGACAATTAGTTTGGTTGTTCAAGCATAACGGGTGTTGTGTTTATATGTAGGCAAGGAGGGAGGAGCAACTGAAAGCAGCTCACGATGAGGCCATTTTTGGCACAACATCTTCTCTTTCTGTTAAAGTAGATAGTCAAACGGAGCTAGTGGATTTAATTGAAAGAGCAATGAAGACTAAATTCTAGTGAACAATATTTTTTTAATTGAAAGTGAAAGAACATAGACTAAATCCTAGAGAACAATGTCAAATTACATCACATTTAATTTTAATGTTTATAAATTTTAAGTTATTTTGTTCTTAAGTATTTTTCTGCATAATTTTTGTCTTAATTAAAATGTATGGTTGTTAATTAGATAAAGCTACATGATATTAAATTTAGGTGATGTAGAGTAGAAATGAAATATGCAAAATCAAAAAATCTTAGCCAAATAAAGGTAATTAGCGGCGTTTGTATTTAAAAACGCCGCTATAGATCTCGACCTTTTGCGGCGTTTGTTCCAAAAATGCCGTTATAGATCTCGACTTTTTGCGGCGTTTATTCCAAAAATGACGCTATAGATATGACCTTTTGCGGCGTTTGTTCCAAAAACACCGCTATAGATCTCAACCTTTTGCGGCGTTTGTTACAAAAACGCCGCTATAGATCTTGACCTATGGCGGCGTTTTTGGTTCTCAAACGCCGCTAACTTTAGCGGCACTGTTTGAGCGGCGCTTCTTGCGGTGTTTTCCCTATCGCCGTAAGTGCTTTTGGCTGCGCTTAAAAACGCCACTATAAGATTAAAAAAACGCCGCTAAAACTCTATTTTGTAACACTAATTCAAAATCTAATTAGTGAAAAGTTTTAAATGTATTTGATTTTATACTCATGATGCCAACTGCTCTATTAGTTTTCTCAAAGTTAGGTTCCATAAATATTATGTATAAGACCTTTTTGGGTAATATATTAAGGTATCAAAAAACTCTTAAATGTTTGAAAATAACAAGTCAGCCCATAAATTTTATTTTGCACCCAATTAAAGTTATTGTATTGAGAAATTAAATTAATTAAGTCTTCAAATTATAAAATTATATCAATTAATTCTTGATCAATTTTATTCATTACATTTAAATATTTTCAGTTTATCTGCTATGTGGTAACACACTAGAGCACGTCTCATGATGAACTCTAGTGAAGCCACATGATATTTCTAGAATTTTTAACATTTTTTTTTAAATTTAAAATATTTAAAATTTTTATTATTTTAAAAATATTTCAAAATTAAAAAAAATATTAAACTATTTATATTTTTAAAAAAATTAAAATTTAATTAAAAACAAAACAATATTAAATAAGAATAAAGTCATTAAATATATTATAAAATTTCAAAATTATAAAATATATATAATAATTAAAAATGTTAAAATATTTTAGTTTTATGAAAAATTTTGAAAATTATTTGAAATAATAAAATATTAATTATTATTAAAATTTTAAAAGATGATTAAATTTTTAATATTTCAAAAGTATAACATATTTATCTTAAAAACGATAAAAATATTAAAAACTTATTCTATAATATTAAATAATTATTATTAAAATGAAAAATATATAAAAAATCTCAAATATAAAAATATAAAATTTCTTATGAGAAAATGTAATTATAGTGCGAGTTCCCTATGATTGGGTGTATGATGTAGATATTTTGCTAATAAAAGTGCGTGGTTAAGGTTTGATCTCAATAATAATAAAAAATAATAATAAAACTTAAAATAAAATAATTAGGTCTAAATTACCAAAACATATAAGAATAATTGTCAAAATAGTAATTAAACATGCAAAATAAGGATTAAATTAGAATTTCTACAAACTAAAGGGAACTAAATCTGTAATTAACCAAACAATGATAAAAATATGAGAGTCCAACAATCAATTAGTCAAAATAAAAATCCAATTATGGAGTTTAATTAAAAATAAATTTGAAGTTTGAATTAAACCAATAATTTATGAAAATTTAGAGTCCAAATTGCTAAAGTTAGAAAGTTATAGATCCGTTCCATATTTTCACCTTTTTCTTTATTTCTTATACCTTATATTTTCATTCTTCCGTTGATTCCTTAGGATATTTCTAAACCCAAATCTCCTTAGCCTGTACTCTACTTTCCTCTGGTCCCTTTTAACCTCTGAGCACACAATCGTCGGCTGGTTTTTCATCGATCATCTCATTCACATTCCTTTCGTATCTCTTTGAGTTGCCTGCTCATCCATCCACATCGTTGATAGACATAGTTGTGACTTTAATATCATACCTAAATCGTTCTTAATTCTCACACTATCGTTTCACACTTTTATGAATTGAGAAATCCCGACGCTCTGATTCTTATGGCCCTCATACGAATTGGCTGCCAAATTTTGTATATGTTATACCGATGGAAAAAGTGATTTCAGTGCTCGTCCTGCTTATGTTAGAGCTTCTTTTGAAGGTAGCTTGAAACGTCTGGATGTTGATTGTATTGATCTTTATTATCAGCATCGGATTGATGCCAAGGTTCCCATTGAAATCACGGTTTTTTTTTTATTTTAATTTTCATCCTTTTGCTTAAAGGTCTTGTAGTTGATAAAAATGTTTGTCTTAATGTCACACTGAAATGGATATTTATATTAATGGATTTTAACCCAAATTGGACACCTTAAGAAACTAGTTGATAGTGGTGTGCAGTTAGAGTGGTCTTTGTGGTCCAGAGATGTCGAGGCTGGCATTGTTCCAACCTGCAGGTTTATTTATTCATAACACTTGAAAAAGGTTTAAGCAAGAGAGTGTGATTTCTTTTATGATTTTCCAGAGAACTTGGCATTGAGATTGTTGCTTACAGTCCCCTTGGGAGAGTGTTCTTTTCATCAGGGCCTAAAATTGTGAAAACTTTGTCCAATGATGACAGCAGGAATGTGTGTAGCTTATCTTTCACAATCTCCTGAATAATTTCTCGTCTTGGCTGAGACTTGTGACCGAAATATGGATTGTATATATATATATATATATATATGAACATGAGTTATATAGTTGTATTCTTTTTACTAATTTTCTTATTTTGCAGTTTGACATATATAGATTAGTTGTTGGATCAACCGGTTAAACCGACTTGTTCGATTAATTTTTTAAATCCATGTGAATGACTCTTGTCTAGAGTTTTGCAAGACCACAAGTTCCTCTTGTGGTCCATAGCATCACTCGAGGATAAAATAACTTTTCTTTAGTTGTATTGTTGTCTTGGTCTAGAACAGCTCTTCCATTTTAGATTGTGCATGTAATACGCTTCATTATCTTGTTCCCCTGTTGTTACGCCTAATTTAAGCAAATCTGGTTTCATGTTTTGCAGTATTTTTAAAAATTTTGTTGTTGACAATCACGTTTTGAAAGGTAATGTATTCTTTTCCCCTTATTTTATTTTATATGTTGTAAAGTAAAATTGGTTCGTATTATTGATTCTTTATCCTTTTGGATGGTTTCGTAATAGAAACTAAATATCTCCAATATTAATTAAATATTACATATAAAGTATACAACTTTTGATTGAATATTAAAATAATTTGATTCATAGAATGATTATACTTTTCTGTTTGGGATTTACGTAATTAATTTATTTGTTTGATTTTTAACTTGAGGGAAACCAACACTTTTGCATATATGCATACTGTTTGTAATATTGCGCTAATGGGGTGTTACATTGGCTTTTACCTTTGTTATTTTCAACCAACCACTGTTGGATCATAATGGTCTTTAAGTATGGTTGTCCCTTTAGTACTACGAGATTGCAC